AATACCAAGGAGCTTTTGTTCACAACAAGCATATTCATGATGTGGTTTTCATAGTAAATGAGCTAGTTGATTCAAGAAAGAGAAATGGAAGAAATGGTTTGGTCTATAAAATAGGTTTAGAGAAGGCTTACGACCATGTTAATTAATCTTTTTTTGGATTATTTGATGGAAAGAATGCACTTTGGTTCAAAATGGAGAAGCTGGTTGAAAGTTTGCATCTCCACTCCAAGATTCTCGGTCCTTGTTAATGGAGTAACTAGAAGCAATTTCAAAAATTCGAGAGGTTTAAGACAAGGGGATCCCTTATCCCCTCTCCTATTTTTAATAGTAATGGAAGGCCGCCGCAAATTGGTGGATAAGGCGGTGGACTTGGAGCTGTTGGAAGCTTTTGAAGTGAGCCCAAATGGTACTTCCATTCCTATTTTGCAGTATGCTGATGACACACTATTTTTTTGCAAGGCTTCGGAGGAACAAGTGCTTAATCTAAATGCCTTTTCTGGTTTGAAATTGTTTCTGGGTTAAAGGTGAACTTAGCAAAAAGTGAAATGATTGCTGTGGGTGAAGTTTCTAACATTCAGAGGCTGGCTGATCTTTTGGGCTGCAAAGTAGGACTTCTATCCACAAGTTATTTGGGGCTGCCACTTGGTGCCAAGTGCACATCAAAAGCCATTTGGAACCCAATCTTAGAGAGGATGGATAAAAAACCGGCCACTTGGAAGGTTAGGTACCTTTCCAAAGGTGGGGAGATGACTCTTATTAAGAGTGTTTTAGCCAGCCTGTCAACCTATTTTATCTCTTTTTCCAATCCCTTCGGAGGTGGTGGAGGCTTTAGAAAAAAAGATGAGAGTTTTTCTGTGGGTGGGATGGAAAGATTCACACAAGTATCACCTAGTGAATTGGGATCAGATTTGCAAACCCCTTTCACAAGGGGGCTTGGGGATAAGAGATCTAAAGCTCTTCAACACAGCCTTATTAGGCAGTTGGCTCTGGAGGTTTGATGCTGAGCCAAACAACCTTTGGAGGAAGGTAATAGCTGAGAAATTTGGGTTGGATAGTGGGCCTCCTCTTGGGACTTATGGATGCAGATTGCAGCCTATGGAAAGGAATATGTAGAGACCCAGTTCAGACATTGCATCAGGTTTAAAATAGGAGATGGCAGAAGGATCAGGTTTTGGCTGGACCCTTGGACTGGGGAGAGCTCCCTCAAAGAGATATTTCCAAATCTGTTTAATCTGGCAGTTGACAAAGAGGTGCTGGTAGCTGATTCTTATGCACAGAGAGGAGACAACATTTGCTGGACCCCCTCTTTCAGAAGGGACTTTAATGATTGGGAGATTCAGCATGTAGGAAATCTCCTAGCTCTGCTCCAAGAGCAGACTCTGAATTTGCAAAGTCAGGATTCAAGAGTGTGGAAGTGGAATAAATCAGGAGAGTTCTCAGTTAAATCCTTCTACAGTTTTTTAGTCAAAGGAAATCAAGTTCCTTCTCCTAGCTGGGCTATTTGGGAAACGGTGGCACCCTCTAAAATCAATTTTTTTTGCTTGGGTGGCAGCTTTAGAGAAATGCCTCACAAAAGAGATGCTGCTGAAGATAGATTACAAGTGTTTTAGCTACTCTGTAGTCCAGAGAACATCCAGATGCAATTTGCCCCAGATTACAAGGATCATCATCTCTGTTTTGCTACAATCAGCTACAGCTTTGCTCAAAAAAAAGTAGACCTGTCAACTCCCTGTTTTGCTAGAGTATCCGCCAATCCATTTGCTGTCCTTTTAACCCAACCAAATTTAGAGTTAAAACTCTTTGCAAGAATGTCAATCTCCCTGAATGCAAATTTATATTTCCAGGGTACTGAGTTTACTTGCTTAGCCCAAGGGATGACCAATAGTGAATCCCCTTCTACTTCCAGCTCTCTCACTTCTAATTCTACTGCTAACTTCAACCCTTGTAAAATCACCATAATTTCTGCCTGAACCGAATCTCCATACCCAATTAGTCCTGAGAACAAAGCCACAACTTCTCCATGATGATTCTAAAGATCCCCCCTACACCTGCCCTCCCTGGGTTTCCAAAAGAGCTACCATCAAAGTTCAGCTTCAATTTATTTGGCCAATCCCCTATTTTTGTTATAGGAAAAGAAAAGAAAAGGTGGAAGAAGAAAATGCACTGATTAGACAAAATTTTAAATTCTCCCTTACTTATTGGTTCAGCTTTTGAAGTCTTTGAGGGTTCAATACAACATTTAGCAATGTTTGTGTTGATTAAACCCTAACAAATAATAAAATAATAAAAAATTAGTATATAAACACACAACATGAATATTTTAGTTTAATAATGTCTATTTTATAATTATAATCTCAAAAAACTAAGAATATAAAAGTATTTTATAACACAATGTACAAAACTGCTTGGCAATTAGCGAGGTGAGCCTACAAGGGCGCCTTGTCACCTCGGCTCCTGCCAAGGCACCGCCTTGACAATTATGGAGTTGAGCACCATCACTGAATCTGAGCACCACCCCTGCAACATCAGCTATTACCACCCCCTTCACCAACTTTTGTTGCATCAGTATCCTAAGCATCCGCTCCGCCAGAGCCATTTCAAAGTCATCGAAAACACAGTAACACACTTGATTTTCTCACACATGGCATCTAGCAACATCATTTTTCAATTAAAGGCTGCATTGGAGGAGGCCTCTTCCTGAATTCATTTTATACTGTTGCTTTTTATTCAATCAAAAATAGTCATGCCTTTATTTGAGGGAAATTACTCTGGTTGTATCTCTCTGTATTCTGGATAGGTAGGCCTCCGTGTCTTTTTCTGCTATTCTAACTTCAATAATGGATGCTAAACAGAAGGTTGTGACAGGGTTTTTGGTATTATCACTCATGGGTTTCTTCACCTTTCTCTTCTTGGTTACTGATATATTTATTCAGCTGCTATGACTCCATGGCAGTGCATCTCACTCGTATTTACTTCCGCTGACAGAGAGGGTTCGTGTTCATTCTGCTAGCCTTCAGCTTGCCTCGAGGGAGGCTTCAGCAACAATGGAAGGCCATTTACAAGGCTGACTTGCATTTTGTCATTGCCATGGAAGAAGAGAAACGGGAAAGAGAAAAAAAGAAAGAAAACAAAAGTCCAAGTTCACTTGAAAAGAAGTCACTCACATGCAAACAGAATGCTATGGACAACTAGCAGAGGGGTAGTATTTGTTATATTACATCATACCATAAGGACCTTTAAGTAGGTTTTGAAATCTTAGGAGTACATCAAGTATTTGTCAGAAACCTCAGGGGTACTTTAAGTAATTTACCCAAAAACTAGGAATGCAAATGGGTCGGACCAGATTTGAAGCAGGGTATATCCCGAGTCCGATCTGATAATACAAAACCTAGACCTGATCTGATCCAAATATCTGATCGGATCTTACAAATAGCGATTCGAATCCAAATCCATTAAGGATGTCAGATATCCGAATTTGATCCAATTAGATTTAATTTCTGAAAATTTTAATAAATTATTAAAATATAAAAACCTAACAGTTTATATAAAGAAAACAAAAAATACAAGTATTTTTCAACTATTTTCATCATATATATTAATATATGCACGTATTTTTTATAAAAAGTTACAAAAAATGCAATAAAATATATGGGTCGGATCGGAGCAGATCCTTTCAGATCGGATAGTGGTTATCCAAATTCGATCCGATTGAAATCCGATTTTCAATCAGATCCGGTCCAATCCAAAAATCCAACAAGGGGTTATACAAATCCAACAAAAAAAAAATCATATTCGGATCGGATCAGATCATGATCCCCATTTGCACCCCTGCAAAAAACAATGAAGCAAGAAAATCCTTGACATCTAATGGTGATGAAATTTTTTTTCCTTCAATTTCTTTTTTTATAATAGCTAAAAGCTACTAATAGGCTAGTCAAACCAACCTGAAATCCATGTCAAATAATGGCCTAGATCAGACCAACCCTCAGTCCCATGGCTATAGAACATTATTATCTCTTGCTGCCTCATTGAACATTACAAAGATGTCAACTTCCTACTGCCTTCTAGTCTAGAAAAGAAGACATGTAACTGCCAAGACTTAAGGTTTTCATGTTGTAAAGGTTGATATTGAGAATCCCCAGTTCATGAGCTAGTTCCAAAGTGAGTTCAGAGTAGGAATATTTGAAAGAATATAAATATATTTAAAATGAGCAAAATAAATTTGTTTTTTATTTTTCCAGAGAAGTTTAGATTCATATCATTTCTAGGCTCTGATGTGGCAGTATCCAGTATGTCAGCATTTCTGTGACAGGCTGTATGCAGTAGTATTCTCAGTTATACAAGTAGAAAGTAAACTGACTTGACATTCTCATAATTCAATGGAGTTCATTGCACATATTAAAAACACAAAAAAAGGTAAAAAATGGAAACATCATAATTCAATGGAGTTCTCTAATAGCTTAATAGGTAGTATTCAGTAATGTTCCCACTTATACAAGTTGGAAGTAAGTTGATTTCACAGTCCCATAAATTCAATTGAAACATTCATCCATGCCTTACCCCAACTACATGGGGTCAGCTACATGAATCCTGTTTCACCAATCCGTTCTATTAAAAACCCCATAAATTCAATAGAATCAATTGCATATATGTAAAAGCACAAGGATATCAAGAATCTAGCACCCCCTGACATCATGACTAGCGTTTCCAATATACATGGACCTTCAAGGCCTCAGGTCTCCATAGCAACACGGCCCGCAATATTCACTGACTCGATAACAATATGTTTAGCAGCAGATAGGAGATTTAGCAATCTTATTGATATCACAACTATGATTTACCCAGCAAGGTTCCAGACCTAGGCAAGATATTTTCTAATTCAAGAACAATGTGCATTTAGAAGCAAAACGGTTGTATATTAGTTATAGCATTTGCACTGCTTTGTAAGCTTCTATGTCCCTTGGTCTCATTTTCAATAATAATAGAATATGGATACTCACTGTGATTTGGTTAAAACTCCGGTTGACTGCAGTCTGCACCATCTTCCTCCAGACATCACTGGTCACCCATGCATCTGTTGTTATCACCTGGAGCAGAAGTTATAATTCATTGTCATTTGTAAAATCTCAATTTTCAATTTGAACTTTCTGAGATTATTAGAGTTCAGTGAACAAGACATACACCAAGCATGGTAGCCATATTTGGGTGGATCATGCCAGAACCTTTTGCCATTCCCCCAATTCTTATGCAAGTTCCTCCAACCTATGCAAACCAACAATTGCGATCATGGAAATGACATCATGTTAAAATTGTCAGGAGCATGAAAATTTAGTACATACAAAATAATGCTCCCACAAAGTGTTTTTTTTATGTTACCTCTCTGTTCAAGTAATTAAGGTGTTATGCCAGCATGACTTCTTTTATTTAAGATGCAACAGAACTCAGAAAGCACAAGAAATATCATAAAAATGAATAATATATCTTGGTGCAATGCTTATGAGAATGGATGGATTTTCTTTTACAAAAGAAACTGCGAGCAAAACTTCTTCAAGGTAGACATTAGAAAATATATGTATACAGCACAACTTGACTGTCATTTTGTATTATAGAAATCCGGTCTTTCAAACTTAAACTAGACACTAAACTGAAATCTTGAAGTTTTTTTTTCTTTGCTTTTGGGGGGCAAATAACAGTTCTTAAACAATTTTATCAAAGAGCTTTTCACAAGTAACAATAATTCAATAGTTTTTTTTTAAAGATAGGGAAAACAAAGCAATTCCACTCAAATTACACACTAGAGCCTAAGCTGCCAAATCATTCAACTCTACACTGCAATTTTTTATTTTTACATTGTTTGCCTCTTTCCCTGGTTCGCCCCAAAGAGCCCACTAAGGGTCTGTTTGTTAATAGCTGAAGTGGCCGAACTGAAAAGCTTATTGCTTTGTCTTTTAGTGAATAAGAATGAGGTTATGAGATCCTAAATGGATGAAAGCTGAAGTTGGGTAGATCATTATACCTTGATATTTTAGTATTTAATTCTTTTATCCACCAAAAGACAAAGCAATAAGTCATCAAGTTTAGCAACTTCAGTCATAAGCCATTATCAATGGCCCCTTTTTTCTTTTTTTTGATCAAACACTTTCATTAATTTACCATAAGAAAAGTTACAAAAGGAAGACAAACACACTTATCTTCCAAGTACAACAAAGGACCTCAAGAAAAAGGAAAAAGAATAGGAAGAGACACTAAAGTTACAGCTTAGCCCAAAACATTGAATCCCTTTCTGCCCCTTGTTTAGCTAAACCATCAGCTAGAGAATTGGCTGATCTTTAACCTGGCACATCTTAACTTCCATCTCTTGCACCAACCACTTAAATTTCCTCCTTTCATTGTTGTAATTCCATAAGCCGTTGTTGTCTTTATCCAGCCACCCTATCACCACCTCCGAATCCCCTTCAATTAGGAGTTTCCTGATGCTCATCTCCTTAGCTTTCTGGACTCCTTCCATAACCACAAAGATCTCAACTCTAAGGGAGTCACCCACTCCAATTGGGCCTGAGAACATGGCAGAGATGACCTCATTCTCATCCCTAAAGACACCCCCAATCCCTGATTGTCCAGGATTCCTCCTACTACTCCCATCAAAGTTTAGTTTCATGAGTCCAGCAAGTGGAGGGGTCCAAGACACATTCATTACTGACTTGGTCTGTGTGCATTTTGCTATTTCACCCCACTTCCTCAACATGTCATCCACTGTGTAATCTTTGAATAACTCCAAAGATTTCAGTCACTGTACAACCCTAATATGTATGATAGCCCTCAGTTCTTCCACCCTCTCTCAGCTTCTGAGAATATCCTGGAATTTCTTTCTTCCCATAGTGTCCAACATACTGCAGCCCTCAGTCCTCTCCACATAGTCCTTCCCCTTTTCATACGCTACCTGAAAAAAGAAGGGGAAAAAAGGCCCTGCAAGTCTGATGGAGGGTTCCAACTACACCCAAAGAGGAAAAAAGCTCAATCCCAAATTGACATCGCCAAATGGCAAGACACCAGTAGGTGAAAACCAGTCTCCCCATTCGCTTTACATAGAATACACCAATGAGGTGACAAGCAAGTAATGGGTCTCTTATTTTGGAGTAGATCACTAGTGTTGAATCTTTCCAAATAGGCTTCCCAACAAAAACTATCCATGTCAAATGGATCAACACATGGTGTTATTATTAAATAATAAAATACATAAAATTCTAGAAAATATAGAAATTTGTAGATAATTTTGGGTACATTCTATAATATTATATATTCATCATATAAAAAAAAATGTGATTAATGAGAATTATTTTCATTAATGATAGAAATGGAATAAAAATTAGAATAAAAAATAAAGAGCATTAATGTCTAACACATGACACTACTAACCATGTCAAATGGTTCAATGATTTAATTAGCTAGGTCATTGTAGGCAAGTAGTTTGGTAGGGATGCAAATAGATCAAATTGGATTTGAATCAAGGTATATTTGAATTCGATTCGATCCGAAGATCTGATCGGATCTCATAAATATTGATTCAAATCTGAATCCGATCAATATGATGGATATCCGAATCTGATATGACCCGATTTAATTAAAAATAATAATAAATTATTAAAAGAAAAAGAAAATATAATAGTTGAAATAAAGAAAAACAAAAAAAATGTCTTTTTCAACTATTTTCATCATATAAGAAGTTTACAAAATGCAATATAAATAACATATATATTATATATAAATGATATATATATATATACATATAATTGATTTGACCACAATATTAAAAACCAATATTCAAACAATATATTGGAATTGCATTTCCTCTTGGTAAATAAGTAATTTTTATTATCTCATAAATTAAATAATAAAAATAAAAATATAGAATTTTTTATAAATTTTATAAAAAAAATTGAACATGCATTAATATTATATATTCTTTATATTAAACAAAAATATGTTTAAAAAATAAGAATTATTGTTAGTATAGATAGAAATAGCTAAAATACGAAGAAAAAAATGAATTAATGTCTTAATCATAGTTAGGGGTGGCCACAAGCCGAGCTCTTCACGATCTACTCGAGCTTGGCTCATGAAAAGCTCGGCTCGGCTCGGCTCAGCTTTTATATATAATAAACATATTATAATTCTTAATTTTTTAAATATCAAATAAAAATATTTTTTATATATAATTTTTTATTTTTATAAAATATTTTTTCTCAAATCGAGCTTGAGCCGAGCCGAGCCAAGCTCGAGCCTTGTACTATTCGGCTCGGCTCGAATCCACCCCTAATCATAGTCCATTTTCCTGGTTAAATAGGTTAATGGTTAAATCAGTAAGGTCATTTGGTTGCTGACGATTATCATCATCATCATTTGATATTGTCATGTGCAACGCGCGTACATTTTTACTAGTCTATACAAAAAGAATTAAGCAAACCTCTGACTCAATGGCCACAGTCTTGCTCACAAGATCAGTGGTTGTAATTGCTACTGCTGCAGAATCTGCCCTGCATGCCGACCAAAACAAATCAGAATTTTATACAATATATAGGAATAGTAGAAATAAAAGGCATATCACATCTGTGTTTAATTATTCATACAAACTCAAGGCAAAGGGAAGAAACAAAAAAAGTGAGGCATAATAACATTTCATGTTGTAGAAATTAAAATGTGAAAATAACAGAATGCAAACAAGCTCCTTCACAAACAAGAAGATGTCAACTTGTCAAACCAGAAGTTGAATGAATGAGAGTGGTGAAAAGAAATACCCCTCAGTAGTTGATGACAACAAACCAACTAGCTTTGGAAGTGAACTTAGAAGAGCATCCTGCATAAAATAATATAAATGGATCAAGGAAATCAGATCCCAAGATTAATGATAGGTTGGAAATCTCCAAGTTGAATCTCAAGAAGGTAAAACGCAGCATCCATATGCCAGATATAAGGTATAGAACACATAGCAAACAAAGGCAATGTCTCTACATCTACCTTCTTTATTCGTTGCCCAATCACACCAGTAGATTCAATTAAAACTTCCTCTAGTCTAAGTTCAAGAAGCTGCAACAACAAGATGGTTACATTAGCAGAACAGAAACATCCAATCTGTGCATGACCAAACTTGATAACTTGGTATTTTAACACTTGAAGTTCAAATACCTTTGCAACAGCACTTGCACATTCTATCACATCCTGATAACCTGCATCACCCTGGGATAAATTGGATGATCACCTTAAGTGTATGACAATCAATTCTTCATAGAGTGCAAAAGCCATTGGAACTCAAATTCTCATAGATTCAGTGGAAAAAATAAGCACAGAAGCATAAGATTTATAGAGAAACTATGAGAACTGCAACCTTCTATGGTAATGGACTAGAAAAATGTGTAAAAGATTTTCAAGTTCTTTTTTTTTTTGATAAATAAAGATTTTCAAGTTCTTTTTATGCACGACAATGTTCATACTAAAATCTAAGATAAAAAAGGATCATTGGCTAATGGTTAACTGAGTGCCAGAACCAAGGATCAAAATATAGCAACGTATTGGGGCATATCAGCCAAATACAACCCTCCAATATGCCCCTATGCTCAGTATTTTGGGGTCCCACCTATTTCAGGGGGGTAGACGGGGGCCTTAAACTGACCCCCTCCGCCCCAAACCAGTGTGAAAGAAAAAAATTAAAAAAAATAAATAAAGGCAGCCTTTGATACAGGCCGATACACCCCATCTGGCGTATTGACCTGTATCGATATTTTGAACCTTGGCTAGAACAAATATGGCTTAAAAAATGATAACAAAAGTGCTTACTGTTGCAGCATTTGCTTGGCCAGCATTTATTAACACCGCACGTGCCTGAAAAGATAGCAATATGAAGATATTGAAGAATGTAATATCCACAAAACACTAAAAGTTGCCGTTATCAAGAATATAAAGAATGAAAATAATTTCTCCCACCAAAGTAGTTGGTTATTGACCATATAAAGACACACCATTTTCTTTTAAGTTGCCTTGTTAGAGACAGATACACATGTCATATATACTTATGAATAACTCTACAAATAATATAAATCCAATGTGCCAGTTACCTTGATTCCTATAGACTAAATATGTGGTTTACAATTAGACGTGCATCACCTCACATATACTATTCAGTGGAATACTGAAATGCTCAGACCAATTCATTTATTTAGAATTGAACAATTGAATTAATTGAAGATAGTAATAAATATTTGTAATTGAACAATGACATGAAATCTACATAAAGTAAAATCATCAATTTATAGGTCTTAGCTAAGAGATTTCCATGGTTAAACCATCAAAGAATGAGAGGAAAATAATATAAGAACACAAGGGATGTTGTCTATATAGTTGCAACCACCCAATCAGATGAAACTTTATTCTAGAATATGCGGATCTTAGTTCATATCAACTAAACTCTACCTTAATTGCAATTATTTGGGGTCAGAAATACACAAATCATATCTGACATGTGCAACTCTCATACTATGCTACAGACTGCTTTTCACTAATTGGCCTAGTAATTTTTTACAAAAAAAAAAAAGAAAAAAACTTTTTTTATCAGTGTAGTCTAAGCAAATACATATCTTTTATTGGTGTAATTCTGAACAGAAATCCAAAATGGATAGGGCCTGGGCCCTGATACAGTTCCACTGGCATACCATTTTTGACTTATCCAGCATCTGTTTGCAGTATAAAACCGGTGCAGCTGAAACTACATTTGTCGTAAATGCCCCTGAGAACAAACGAGTATGAGATGATTAGGAGTCTGTGAATTTTAAATATTGGTACTATGTACTATCCAATCTGTTTCTTTTTCTAAATCAAGTGGTGGGAAGATATCAACAGCTTACAAATCAACTACAGATTTGAAGAGACAATAACCGGTTCTAAAGCAAGATCAAGGATTAGGTTTTGTTTCAGTTTCCAGAGCATCCGGAAGGAAATATGTGGATAAGAAAAATCCTAAGTTTTTTTTTCTATAATTGATACTAATAGGAGAATGGTTAATTGTTTATAGGTGCTTTAGAAGAAAAGAAAAGAGCCAGATGGAGAAAGGATAGTGGAAATGAAAAGAATTTAAAATAACAAAGATATTATTGATAAGTTTTCTTGAAATTTCACCAAAATTTTGGAGAAATTTTCTGTTTCAAACCAGGTCCAAACCCAATGTTAAGAAAAAATTTAAATCCTTGAGAAATGTATAGGTCCAAGCCTATCTTAGACAAGATGAGTAAAGTTGGAAATATTTCAGGTAAACAAAATCACCTGCAGCAACAGCATCAACGTCACATGTTACAAGTGCAAGGTCAGGCTTCTCTCCCTTTGCACGCAACCCACCATACATCCCTGCAGCCTTGAATCCCTTTGCAGCAGTAACGCCTCCCGGAATCTACATTGTTAAAGCTATTAGTAAATTATAGGGGTTGAATTCATGATTTTCACAGGCTTGAGAATCCGTTTTACCTACTACCATGTACGTGACGTTTTAGCAGTTAACATCTAAATGTAGAATATAGGAAATACCACAGCTACAATACTGAGAATCACCAACAACCGGATGCAAAAGGCAAAGCTTGGTAGGCACAACAATATGTTATTGTAGACACCGAAAAAGAGAAATACGAAAAAAAATTATCACAAACCTCACCTGTTTCCATGGTCCCTCTGGCAGGAGAATCGGAGCTGCAGGTATATAGTTTGAAGCTTCCTTCAGACTCGAATATACAGAAAAGACCCTAAAGTGACGGAGAAAATAAACAAGCGAACTCTGGCGCTGCAAAATATCCATTTCTTACTTAACAATAAAACTAACGATAACCACTTGGAAACACTACCAATACGCACTTAAACCCCTCAAATTGACATAAAAGAACATGGTTTCTTCAACCCACCTTTCCGCAACCAACTTCTGGAACTTTGAGCGTAATGTGGTGATGGACAGATAATGCCATTCGAAAGAAACGATGCACGAACTGGGGAATGGGTTTAGTAGTGGCGATTAGGGTTTATTCTAAGGACGAGCTCTCTGTGTCTCTGCCGCCGTGCACAATCAATCGAAGTGAGTGAGGCAAAGTAAAGATTTTGTAAGATTCTATTAGAGCTCAGTAAGCGCTGGATATATTCTAGTTATAGTTCTAGTAGAAAAAAAGAATAATGCGGGACATATTCCTCTCTCTCTCTCTCTTTTTTCTCGTTCTTTCAAGCATCCGTTCTCTTTCGAATCCTAACCTCGCACGTGATATGGAAAATAGAATCTATAAATGTTACTCAATGCTCCATCGGACATAATAAAAGCAAAAACTCCACATACATTCTGCTGCAAGTCTTTGCATCCAGCCGCAGATTAGAAACATATCTCATTACATGAATTCAAGATATTCCGAATGTACAGGTGACGCCTTTTGCGCAGAGTTTTTGCTTGATTCGCGGGAGATCCGGTCGGTCTGTCTGTCTTCGCCATCACGACTGTGTCTTCATGGCTGCAACTCCTAGCAGCAGTGGTAGCGCAGGATCATGACAACAAGGGAAGTATGATAGAGATATGAGAAGACATCACCAATGAACTTGTTAGAGATTTTTTTTTTCCTTTTTTCGGCGATTATCACTGGTGAAAATGTCAGTTTTCTCATTGCTGGGAATATCTCACCAGATAAAGTCATTTTTTCCTTTTCTGGCGATGACCAAATGTGTTTCTGGGCCATTATATTTTAAGAGAAAATGGCAAGAAAAAAATAAGATAAAGAAAATTTAGTGGGACATTTTGGTGATGTAATACTTTTCATTATTCGACATAGCAGTCTAGGGGATATTATGGAAACGCAAAAGTTTGGTCTTGTCACTAAGCCCATAGTACATGGGGATCGTTATAACTTACCCAAAGAATTAAAGCTCCCCTCATAATTCACCTAAACATTCCACGGCCTGCTGAACAGCTAAAGTGTTCAGTTAATCTGAATTCTACTGTCACATGATTTTTTCCTGAAAAAAATGGATAAATTCATCGGATTATGTTTGGTGACATTATGCTACCAAAATATGAAATGAAGAAGACAACCGCAACATGATTTAGAAGGGAAATATGGATATTTACCATTTAGGGAGCGTTCTTTTTTCGGATTTGAAGCGAGGGAAAAGTTGGTCAATGGGATTTTGGTTCCCATGGACCAAGAATCCTATGTTCTCTTTTCAGTTTTATGTGGAGATTAATGAGAGTTTATTTTATTGGGTATCACTTACCCAAGAAAGTGAAACCCATGTTCTAAATGGATAAATAACTTTTCCACATCGAGGGAAAGTTACCAACACTTGAATGGAACAAAAATGCTCATTTTAATAATGGATTTCTATAGAAAAAATGGTCATTACCTTATTTACCCAAAAAATAAAAAAGCATAGGTAAATGCACTTACCTGGATAAGTGTTTCACAGGAAAAATTTATCCAAGTAATTGCATTTACCTGGATAAATAATTTACCAAAAAGCGAAGGGAGGCTTAACTTTTAGACATATCTAATACACCAAATGATGCACATAGGAGTATTCTTTTTCCCAACGGATTCTCCTTTGAAAAGGAGAAACAGCAGCGTTCACAATTCACATACAAACGAGTTTTTAATGCCATACACCTCAACCACAGCTTCACTGAATTCCTATCAGGCTCCGGGATCCACCACCACAAAATTGAACCAAACCAAGCTCCTCTGCCAATCTCACAAAATCGTATCCCATTAGAAAGCAGCTTCCAAATAAAGAGTTGAATTTTGGGATACAAAGGTACCCTACACTATACTGCCCAGGATGTCGTACCCCGATTTCACACTATACTGCCCAGTTTTTTCCCACACCCATATCCATTTGTCTTCACGTCCACCATGACTAGAGAAGTGAATCTGCTTATTGCCCGACAGACATGTGTAACTCTTGGCTCTTTCTCTTGTATTACCAAAACAAGTTGTGACAATTGAAAGTTGGGTTAGAAACCATGGCTCAACATTGACAAATTTGCACCCGCAGGTGTAATCTGGAGCATGCATGACAAAAATGTATGCATCATAATATTGGTACCTGTTAGTATTAATGCACATTTGGCAAATTGACATTCTCATTCTCATTCATACTTTTACAATGCGCATCCATCATTTCTTTGTGAGCTTTTTCTTCACTATCTTTCCTTCATATATTTTACATGCAACCAATTGTCTATCTAGTCCTAAATCAATGATAGCCACTGCACTCAGAAACAAAATGGCAGAAAAAAAATACAATAGAAAAATAACAAATAAAAAATTAACCAAATTCACAGAATCTTAGTTTTGGAACAACCATACAAGGAGATACTGTTATTCTGTTATTTGCTATGCTGCCTTCTCTAGCATTGAAAGTGCCCCGGAAAATCATTAGCTGGAGGTCCTTTGTATACTTCAATAACTGCCCAAAATTTATTTTCATAGTTATTTTCAGCTTTCCTCGGAAGCAGGAAGCACAAGATTTTCCACATTCAAAGAACAAAGTAGCCTCTCAATGCATGAAAACAATGCTTGAAAATAACCCTACAAAACAAGAGTTAAAACTATACTCAACCAACTGAAGGCCAAAACCAGTATTATATTACACCAATATTGAATGAACATCAATACATAGCCAACAAGCATATGCAAAGACTATATTAAGGTTGTTTCCTTCACATTGGGAATTTGGTGCTGCCTAGCAATTTTCCCCTTTGAATAAATTTCTTGCAAGGCAAAAAAACAAAGAAATAAAAACATGAAACAGACAACTGAACAAGGCAATGACAAAATAAATCTACCTAAGCAGAAAAGTTTTATGCCTGTATGCATGGTTGCCAACTCGTTTCTTGACTTCTTGTACAGGATGAGGGAAATCCCATGAGAATAGGAAGAGGGGGATGGATTCCACTAAGTCTGGGGGCATCAAGAATTACACAGGCCCAAAGCTGAGGGATCTTTAAGGTATGCTCCAAGCAGCATGCTTCAATAAACTCACTTTTATGAAGAGAAAATGCCAAGGACAGCTAGTATGTGCCCCACATGGATTCCATTTGCAAGATATTTTGGCTATTTCTTCCTTGTTCGTTCTCATTCTCTTTCAAAGATGTTAGCTAATGTGGCTTTTAATGCCTTCCTATCATGACAAATATGAACTTACCTAGAAGCAAAATAAATGACACGTTTTCCTTCTTTTCCTATTTTTTTTCAAGGTATATTAAGAGCTGCTAAAGGAAAATTTTACAAGACTAAGAAGTTGCAGGATTGTTTGCCTTACTCCAAAGAAAAGGGAAGAGCAGGATATAGGGTGGAGGACTAAAAAAGGACTGTTCTCGGTTAAATCCTTTTATCTTTCTTTGATGGGTGGAATCAGATCAATCTTTTCCGGCTAAGGCCTTTTGGAGCACAGAAGCTCCATCAAAGATATATATATATATATATATATATATATATATATATATTTTGTGTGGGTCGCAGCTTGGGAGAAATGCTTGACCAAGGAGATGCTTACAAGAAGGGAGTGGCCTACCACCAGATGCACCTTGGTACTTCCATCTGCCAATCCAGGCTACTGGAGCGAAGGGACCCTCAGGTGAGGAGCACGAGTGCAACGACTTTGAATGGCAAAAGTGGTTTTTGCCTTCTAGCCAGCAGTTGCCGGATTAGCCTTCGGACTAGCCTTACCCGCCTTTATTGAGAAGGAAGAGATCTCTAAATCACCTATTCCTGTTTTGCAAGTTCTCTAACAGGATTTGGCTCCACTTTTATAAGGTGGTTCCAGTGTACTGGTGCTGCCCAGATTGGGTGAAGAGTCTCCTGGCAGGTTGGCAAGTGGTATGACCAAGAGATGAAGAAAGTGTTGGGCGACAGTGCCTCTTGCAGTCTTATGGGCTATTTGGCAGGAGAGGAATGACAGGATTTTTGAACATAAAGATAACCCTGACGAGGTCATTAATACTTCGATAGAAATGCTAAAGAACTAGATTTCCACCCTAAATACCTTTAGAGGGGAGGAATTTACTTCATCGTTACAACTTAATATAAATATATCTTTTAGGGTGTTGACTGACACAAGGTGTCACACCCACCATTAGGCTGTTCTCTCTCTGTCTGTCTCTCTCTTTCTTTTCTGATTTTCAAGCTGACTCTGACATGGTATCAGAGCAGGTCACGACCTGAACTTCACTCAACACCTTGGCTACCTCTGATTCAAGAACTCCCTAATAGTATTTGGAAGTTCTTGAGTATCTTCTTTACTTCTCTTCCTGGATCGGCTATAGATCTGAACTTTACAGTTCTGTTTTCTGGACTGCTGCGCCACTGGGTTCAATCTATTTTTCATATCTCCCTATAGAGACATCGGATCAGCCTGGAACTTTAGATCTGGTGTTGCCTAGAACAGATCTATTGAACTTCTTTGGTTTGGTTTGGATTGGTTTTGTCTTTGAGGGGTTTTGATCCACTTTTCAGTTCAGCAGAAATCTACAATTGCCATTTTTGGGCATCAGCCGAAAGGTATTCTTCTTTTCTTCTCTGGTTTGAAATTCTTTGTTTATGGAAGTGTGTGTTGTTGCCTTTTGTCATTCAATGGTATCAGAGAGGATGGATGTTCTTCCTATTAAGTTCAACGGTACGAACTACGCACTATGGAAGTTCAATTTTTAGTTCCATGTCAAAGCTAAGGGTCTTCGGGGGTACCTAGATGGATTTGTGTCTAAACCTGATGACTCTGACATTAAGGGAATTAATCAGTGGAAGATCGACAACGCAAAAATTGCATCATGGATTCTAGTCTCAGTCGAAACTGATATTGCTATCCCTATGAGAGGGTACAGGACAGCCTATGAGATGTATCAATACCTTGAGAAAGTTTATTAACAGCCGAATACCTCTAGACAGTATCAGATAGAGGTTGACATTTTTTCTTACTATCAGGGAGATAGAAAGGTCCAAGAGTACTATGCCGGGTTCATTAACCTTTGGACAGAATATGAGTTAGTTCACATGGGAGATAATTCTTCAGACTATTGTGTTAAATACATGAAGGAACACTTCGACAGGAGAAAAACTATGCACTTCCTAATGCACCTAAGACCAGAATTTGAAGTTGCCCGATATAATATCCTAAACCGAGGAACACTTCTGACTTAGATACTATTCTTGGGGAGATTTTGAGGGCAGAAACCAGATTGACTACTCAGACTGCACTGGATGGAAGGAAGGATATTTCGAGGAAGAAGAGATTAAGAAAGCTGTCTTTATAATGGATAGATCCAAGGCTCCGGGTCCAGATGGCTTTACAATGGGTTTTTATCAAGACTGTTGGGAGGTGTTGAAAGAGGATCTAGCTGAAGTCTTTAAGGAATTTGCAGACAATCATACTATAAGCCCTGGAATTAA